GCGCGGGCCCCAACTTCTAGCCCTGGCTCTCGGGCGCGGTTGCCGGCCCAGATAACCGAGATCAGGCAGTTCTTCAACAGCCGCCTCTCTCCCCAACTCTGAACCCCTTCTGGAAAATACAAAGTAGTGTCTGGTCCACGCGCGCGGCTCCTGCCCGACTTTCGTGAGGGGGCGGGGGTGGATGGGAGTGGTTAGGAAGGGGAAAGTGCAGTGTGTGTGTGTGTGTAGGAGAGAGAGAGAGAGAGAGAGAGAGACAGACAGACAGACAGACAGAGAGACAGAGAGTTGGGATAGGTGGGAGGGCTCTTTTTGGCCCCCTTTCCATCTTTGCTACACCGTAAGCTCTTTCGGGCAACACCAACTAGGCTAAGATAGAAACCTGCAGAGACTCCAAGCAGAGTCGGAGAAATTTGGCCTGTATTTAATGGGGCTAGGGAATGAGCTCCGGAGGTCAATAAAGCCCTCCAAAAATGATGAATGATGGAGCACCTGTGATGATGATAGTGATTACCAGAGCAATTAAACAGTTTGATTAAATGAGCCATCATAACAATGATGTCTGCGGGAAATCGGCCCTCACATATAAAGAAAGTGCGGAGGGGCTGGCAGAGGCGCGGATCGTGAGGCACCTGGGATGGGGCTGCTTCGGTCCCAGTGATTTTTGCCCCGGTACCCTAAGCTGGGAACGCAGGCAATGGCAGCTTCTGAGAAGAGTCTAGCCTAGATTTTCCGACTTTTTGCCTGGCTTCAAGCCTTCGAGATCCGACGGGTATAAAACCTGAAGGTTTGGGTGGGGGCCCTTCCTCCACCTCCTCTTTTTTCTTTTCTTTCTTTTCTTCCCCCTAGAAGAACTCCAAGATTAAAAATATTCTTCTCGTGTGATGCCGAGTTGCTTGCTGGTCGACATATTTTAAAAAGGTGAGTAAAAAAGAAGACTCCAAAAGAGTTGGTCTCCAGAATTTTATTTCAAGCGGCAATTACAGGAGCTCAGTTTAGCTTCGGCGGTGCAGATGAAGGAGAGAGGAGGGAGAGCAGCGTGCCCAAGCTGGTCTCCCGGCGCTGGGGAGAGTCTTCCACTTTCGAGATGCGTAGATGTTGGTGGGTCCCCGTTCGCGTCTCACGTCTCGGGCTGAGAAGTTTATACTCAGTCTTTCAGATTTACTCCTCCAGCTGTCCTTAAATTCAATATTGGGTAATTACTACTGCCGATGTGATGATTGTTGTTTTAAATGTCTTGTTAAAGTAAAAGCCAGTTGCTTTTACTTTTTTAAACTCCTCTGTTTCCCTGATAAACCCTTCTTTTTGTAAAGATCTCCTTTAACTCGAACCTCTGCATTGCAGAGTCTAAATATGGGACTTTTTTTTTTTACCGTGATCTTTTACCAGTTTCTTTTTTATATAGTAATATTGGCAAGGGTTAGCAATGCATCCCTATAGCTTTGATTTAGAAAAACTTCACCAGCATTTTAAAAAATGTTTCTTTTCTTACAGTGCAACTAAGAACCATTCAGATTGATGATTTCTATATTTTCAAATAATTGAGTGCAGTAACAGTTTATTTGCAGTAATCTCAGGTTTTATAAAGGAAGAAAAGTAAACCATTGTTGAGCAATGCAAAAGGAATTTTAATCTGAACTCCCCTACTTCTTTTATTTTTTGCTAGCATTCTGTAATTTTTTTTTTTTTGTATTTTATTGAGTACTTTAAACAATGGGAGAATCTGGTCAGGTGTAGGAAGGAGAGAGATGACATTTTAAGATTGAATCGAAGAAAAAAATGTCTTTGCCTCTAAAAACTTTCATTTAAGGAGTGTGAATCTTAAAAGTACATCTCTGCTGGAGAGCATCTGTGTGGTTTTCAAATTTAGCAGTTGCTTAAAGGGAGGCCGCAAATTTTTTCAACTAAAAATATTTCACTTACCTTGTCGATTATGAAAATGCTAGTTTAAAATAGCAATCCCACTGTAGTGGATAACACACAAGATCAAGCTGGAGTTGATTCTGGGAATCTGCTCAGGATCTATCTGATGATTTCCAAGGACTATTCTTCCTTATAATCAGTGACTTGCAGGTGTTTTATTAATATACCTGAGGAAGGCTCCTCTACTGCTTAAGAATTCTCTTGGCTCCCCACCTCCAGTTTTCAGTCCTATAGAAACCATTCCACAGTAATGGGGTAACCATTCTTTCTGATTTCTTCCCCCATTCTCTGCCACAGTCCTGCCAGCCAGGCTTCCAGGCTCCTCTGCTTTGCCCACCTTTGGGGTGATGAGAAAGTGGGTGGGGCAGGCCCTAGAGACAGGCAAGAGATGGGGGTCAGACCTCCTGCGACAGTCAGCTCCTTCTGCCCAGGCTGGAAATGGTTTTAACAGGCGGTAAAATTTCATCTTGCGGTGTCAAATTGGGGTCATTTTGGGGTTAGAGTTCTCAGTGTCCAAGAGGAGCTGTCCAGCTGCGTGGGGACTCATTAACTGCAAAAGATCTGTTTCAGTAAAAACAATTCAAAGACAATCAGAAGGCTAAAGACCCTCTACAAATCGCATTTTACAAGTGCCCCAGAACAAATATGGATGGTGAAACCTATTTCTTCAGAATCCCAAATCAGCTACTTAGATTTGGAGTAGCGGGTGGGGGCACTGCATTAAAAGAGGTGAAAGGGAGAGGACCAAGGAGGTGGAAGTGGACGGGAGAAGGAATTGGGCCTCTCGGATTTAAGTCTGGTTTTAATCATCTCATATTGAAGCATCCCCAAGACTTCTGAAAACTGCTTCTTTTTTATTTTTCCTTTTTTTTGACCTCACATTTAATGTTATTATAGGTAACATTTAGGATTTTAAAAGTATAATTTAATCCCTCTGTAGTTTCTTAACTTAAAGGGCACTGGCTTTATTCATTTGAAAGAAACATTTATAAGCTCAGACTTTATTTGAGGTGCATTTACTCAGGCTCCACAAGAATCCTGTGTTTCTTTTTATCCCCCCGCCCAAGTTGTAGATCCTTCACACAGATAACTCCAAATTCCTCAGAAGAGTAAGGTCCGAAAGTGCTAATCTGTGTATTAAAATCACCGAGTTTAAATCCTTTTTGTCTTCTTACAACAGTTAGAACAATTGATGCCTTGCTAGAGGAACAAGTAAACCCAACCTTAATCTTGTTTGTAACTTTAGTTAATGTTTTGATTTGGAATATTTTGTACTAAGCAGATTTTCCCCCCAAGCCAGTAAGGTTTTTATTTAAGGAGGTTCTATTTATTGGTTTGAAAGAAAGATATGAATTATTCCTTTGATTTTTGCAAAGATTCCTTCAGGTAAAAGGAAATTGCAGTGTTAAACTAAGAAGCTAGATGTGTGACATTGCACAGATTTAAGTATAAAACCAAATCAGTACTTAAAAGTAAACTATCACATGAAAGAAGTTTTTTTTTCTCCTTTGCATAACTGAACTGTGCAAGTAAAAGACATTTTAAAATGTATTTTTAAAATCTCTTCCTTTCTCTGGACTTATCTTTAGTTCCTAGATTTTTTTTCCCCATCCACTCAACTTTTCTTTGAGTCCTAAAGGACAGGGTGAATGTTTGCATCCTAGCTCTTTCCTCAAAGCTTACCAGAGCATTTCTAAATTGTTCTTCAAGGACTTTAATTGCAGTCCTGCAAAATAGCCCTGAGCCCAGCGTTGCTGGGACAAAGGCTCAGGGGCTGTCTTCTTCCTCAGACCTGCTGGTTGACAGTTGGAATTTTTGATATATATTTTATTTGGCATTTCCAATAACGAGTTTGTCTCCCCACTGCCCCTCCACCCCTTGGAGCCATCTATTACTTTCAAAACTTCTCTTTTCCGTAAACCTGTAAACCTGGGCTCATCCTTGTGAACTGTTCTTGACCTTCCCAGCAGTGTAACTAGCAGCTCTGAAAGTTGGGCTAAAGGGAATTCCCCGCATTTCTTTACCTGTTAGCTTCGTTCTTTTTCTTCCTAGCTGAGATCAACAGGGGAAAACACTCAGTATTTTCTTTGCTTGGTTTTTGTTTTGGATTTTGTTTTGTTATTGTTTTATTTTTAGTTTTTTAGTCTTTTTTAATTGGCCTTCCCCACTTAGGCTGCTATGGATTTTTCTCAACGCAATTGACAATAAATAACCCTACACCTTACACTTTCCTTAACCCTACACTTTACTTAACAAATGGGATGGAACGGGTTCATTGTATTTTCTTTCCTTTTGCCCTGTCTTAATTTCCCCCAGTTTTAGCACGTTCACCATCTCGCGTAGGGAAGGGTTTCCATAAGTAGCCCTCTAGCGCTATCTGGCGGGGCTCCAAATGCTCCGCGCACTGGTTCTGGTCTCCATCCTGCGCACTCTCTCCTCTCCTCTCTTCCGCTCTTTCTGCTATCCGCCCCCCTTCCCTCCTCTCTCTACCCTTCTACTGGTTCCTGCCCCCGCTTCCCAAGCAGACAGCTAGGGAAGGCCCGTCCCAAAGGCTTTTGCCCTCTTCGTCGCAGGATGCTCTGACGCAGGGACCCTGCCAGCGCGGGTCACACACATCCAGGACACTGGACGGGCAACTTTGGCGTAGCCGATCTCGTTGCTGAAGCTCCCGCTTCTCCGCTGGGGGTGGCTTGGAGAAACTTAAAAGTGCATTTGTGAAGTTTGCAGGAAGGAAATCAGACACTGGAATCCCGGGCTGTTGGAGCCCAGTTAAGTTTTAGGTCTGAAGGCCAAGGCTCAGTGCCCGCCTAGGAGAGGTCTGGGTTTCCAGGGCTGGGAGCTGCGCGGTGCCAGGGCGCTGGACAGAGTTGGAGTGGGATATGAGCGATCGTCCGTGGCCTCTCGTGACCGCTCCACTCACACTGCTCAAACCTGCAGACTGGGCCTGTCAGGCTATTTTTTTTTTTCTTTCTTTCTTTCTTGAAGTAATCAGTTTTATCCCCTGTGCCCATTTCCCTATGACAGCACATTTGGAGAGGAGGGGTAAAGAAAAGTGGGAGTAGACAGGCTCCCTGGAAAACTCACAGGGCAAAGAGCCAGAGACCACGGTGGCTGGGGATACAGTACCTCCAGCAGCCTCCCTCCTTCCTCATCCATTATCATGCAATTGTTATGACCTCTTTCTGATTTGGGGCTTTTTTTTTTTTTCAGTGACAGTAAACACAGCGATGTGTGGGGAGGTCAGAGGGGATACAGGCTAAAAGAGAGATGTGACTACAAACTGGGTACTGTAGGTGAGAATTGAGCTAAGATTCATTCATATTCTGTCTCACAAGCCAGCATGCACACATGCACACCACACAGCCCTTTAAGCAAGCCCCTTCTATCTGATTCTTGAAAGCCTTGGGAGGACATGTGACCAGAGGGAGTGTTACAAATGTGTTTTCGAAAATTTTTAGTTTTGCTTTTGCAAAATAAAAATGAAGGCCATACCCCCAGTTCAGACCTAGTAGGTGAGAGGAACTTGGCCCAAGGGATCTGAGATCAACCACACAAAGATCTATGCCCAAATCTGAAATCTGACCCCTCATGAAGATGGAAAGCAGGGGGACAGGGTGACACTTTCATAGGCTTTCGGGCCCAAGAATCGCCCCTCACCCCTATTGCTGAGAGAAGCAAACACAGTTGGGGTGTAATTAATCGAGGACTATTATTAGGTCATCATTAGTCAAGGTGCAAATAATTGCAGCCCATTTTTACTTAAAATTGACCAGCTCCAGAGTGATAGATCGATTCAGAGTATAAAAATGATGTATCAAAACATCAAAGTCGATTATTTGAAATATTGTAGTCGAAATTTTTTTTATTGCTTCATCGGTTAAGTGTCTGAAAGTGCAGTGTTCAAACATATATTTATGTTGTCAATACTGTCAGAACTGTCAGTTTTACTATACCGGATTTGTACTACATTTCGAATTTGCTCATTTACATAAAATGCCCACCCTAGGATTCCCGCTATCTCTGGAAAATCCGTGTGAATTCCTTCAAAGGATTCAGCAGTCTGTGCCTAAGCTAAACTGTGCACTGCCTCTTTTACTCAATTTTCCATGATAGATTACATGTCTTTTTCACCATTTCTAACTTTCAAAGAGATGCTTCCTCCTTTCTGCCCAACTCTGCCTATCCTAACCTCTTCCCCAAAATGGTATTGAAGCAGTTGTAAAACGTCAGATTTAAATACCCACATCCTTGCTCCAAAATATACTATTTGGGCAGAAAAACAGATTTCACTGTACCTTCCTGGCCCCTCTGGGATAAACCCGGGAGTCCACCAGGCAGACATTTTCACAGGCATCAAAGTCCATGATCAAATTAACTAGAAGATTGAAGTCTTCCAAGGAAAACAAATTTGGAAATACAAGTACTTTTTTCTTTCTTTTTACTTAATAACTGTGATGGCAGAAAAAGAAATGATACATATAAATGATTAGTACATTTTACCTTTGAAAGCTTTTGAACTCAATCAAAAGAATTGACAGTTTTAATTCTACCCATTTTCACCTGGCAGGGTAGATCAGAGGCAGTCATTTATTTTATGGGGTGTGGATTGGAAAGGTGGATAGAAAGCTTGAATCACTGAAGTCTCTGTCCTAAAATTCCCAGAGAAATTAAAGAATTACTGAAACACAAACATTGTCTCAATCTGTATGTATCCTTCTTCTAGACTAACTGAAATTTATAAAGTCACATTATGCCTAATTTTATGCTTTTTATTTTTTTTCCAGGGTCCCCTCCAGTCTGATAGGAAAGACAGGATCACTTCTGGACTTGCTGTAAGGATGTGTTTTTGTTTCTATAACACTGAAGCACTTTTCATAAACCTTTTAATGTATCTATATAAGTCTATTTGGCTATTAAAAGAAGCGAATGCACAAAGATAGCTTGGCTTTATGCCCTCAATGTAGCAGTAACAACAACAACAAAAATCCAGAATCTGAGACTTCTTTGCATACTCATCCTTGCCTCCAAAAAAAAAAGCAAAGCAAACAAAAGTTTGTGGCTCCCATCTGTATGTCTTCGAGTGTGCGTTTATAAACATCTTCCCGGTTGATGTTACCTCCCTCGTGCCGAACACACGAAGGCAGAGGCATCGAGGGATTGCCCCATAAGAGCTGTTTACTTAGGGTATTTTTTTTTAAAATCTCTCCACCGTATATGACAAGTGGTACTTCAAGAAATTCGTCAGCCTTCTCCGGATACTTCCGGTCCTGCTGTAATGATCTGCAGAAAAGACCTGCCATCGCTTTATCACATCCCAAGGTGTTGCGGGACCCCGAGAGAGGGGACAGTGGTAGCCACATTTAATTACCTTGGGGAGGGAGGGGTGCCGGCCTGGCCGCTGGCGGGCTGGACTGGGACGGGAGGGTCCCCCCTCCTGAGGCACCTGAGGAAGCTCCTAGGCTCCTCTCTAGGACCGTTTGGAAAAGGTATGGTTGCTTTTTTTTTTTTTTTTTTTAATTCCTTTAGGGAGAAGTGATACCCTTGTGTAACAATTAGCTCAAACAATAAAAATAATTGGAAAATCAGTCGGAATTTCTGAGTTTTTAATTACGTTTAATTTTGTGCTAAACCGTAAAATTACGAATGCCCCTCAATTAAACACTTTCCTCTTGTAAAGCGTTTAACAACAATTATTCCTTAATCAGTCTGAATGTGAGTCACAAATGGGGCTTTTCCACATCAAAAGGGAGTCCTTGGACGTTACCTTTTAGTCATAAGTAAGAGGATTAATTCCTATAATTAAAGGGATAAATATGTGCATAAATATCTCTTTCACTCTCTCCTTAAAAAAAGAAAAGAAAAACAACACTTTCGCTCTGAGACTGGGGCTACGGCGGGGCGTAGGCTGTCACCGTCCGCTTGAGCGCGGTCCCCAGCGAGGGGTGGGGTGCACAGGTGCGAAGTCGGGGTCTCGGGACCCCCGCGAGCAGGGCGCTTTCCCGGGGATGACAGGACCCCCCCGGAGGGGAAGAGGCGCCCGCCCTGCCTTGGGGTCGGTTCTCGGGTCCAGCAGAGCGCAGGTCCCAGCCGTGAGCCGCGGCTCCAGGTCGACTCTCCAGGCTACAAATAAAATCGAGCCTGACCTTTTAAAGCTCCTGTGTGAATATCTCATTTACCTAATGACTTTATGTCACCTAGGAAGAAGGTCAATTTCCTCTTAACCTTTCCCCCGCTGCTGCAGTAAGCATTCTTCCCTAATCAACGGTGGCTGAAATAATCAATCCCCATTTTACGATCGCTGACAAACTCAATCTCGGGGCGGTGCTAGCGCGGGGCTCGCCCGGGCGGGGACTGGGCTCCGGGGTGC